ATTACGTTTTCTGCAACATTTTTTATTGTAGCTTTTAAGATGTCGCCAATTTTAACTGTACCCCAAGTCTTCGTACAATTTTGTAGAAAGTATTCCACATCACGCAAACTGAATATATTTTTATTTACACAACAAATTTGCAAATCACTATTTGGTGGATGTATGTTCATTTGAGCAAGAAGTAAATCGTTAAAATCTGATAACAGACGTATGGGCACAAGTCCCTTCATGTAGCTAGTTTCGTTTGCTTCTTCGTCATATTCTATTTTTATCTCTAACCCAGAATCAAGATTGTTAACAACTGTAGCAGGACATATTTCGCCCATTTTAAAAACAGAATCTACTAAACCAAGTGAGATTTGTTCATCCTTCCTAGCAGCTATGCGAAATTGCATTGTTTGGCCAACATAAAAATTATCCATCTCATTTGATAGCTCTGTGTTTAATTGCTGACGATGAAGTACTCCTTTAATGTTATTAAAAAATTTTACAAGTATGTTATTTTTATTGTGTGAAACTACAGTGCCACTATAGACTTTATTTTTTTCAGCATCTGCCAGTGAAGTTAATATTTTGCAATTTTTTACCATATATTCTGGCCGATTAGTAAGGTATAAATTTTTGTATTGTGTATTGATGGCTACAATTCGGCAACGTACCTTTGAGTCAATTTCCAAGTGCTTGGAAGTAGGAGCCAAAAATAATTTTTCTATAATTCCTATAAAGACAAATTTAGAGAAAATTAAATAAAAAATTTATTTGTTGTTTATTTGAAAAAACAAAAAAAATTTTGGAAGGTATCAAATGTCATATATTATGTAGTTTACATAGAAAAGAATGGAGGGTAAAAACTTCACTGTATACTATTATCTGCTCGACGAAGCAAGATCATAAAGCTAAAGGGATTATAGGAACTAAGTTTATTTGATAAGGCTTTTAAATCTGAACAAACCAAGAAACAATCATTAACTAGTTCTAAAAACCTTATTTGTAATTATTTGTAACTTAATGGGGAACTGACAAGTGCATGTCATATCCTAACAACCAACATCTTTACAGATACTTTCATTATTTATTTTTCAACAATCGCTATTAGTTTCTACATTAATAAACACTAAGGTTCGAATATCACTAATATTACTAATTTTGAATATCGTGTCGAAGGCCACGTTAACTATTACTATTAAATAAATATTTTGCAAATGCTTCTTATTGAAAAGCAAAGAAAAATATTATCTTGACACACTCTTTTAATTTTAATAATGGTATTTGAGTGGTTTTATAAGTAGTCAAGTCCACATATTTGAACCATTGTTGTTATAGTAACTCACTGGCTGGAGTTACTATCGGCACTAAGCCACTGAACGTTATGATAGGAATATTCATTTTCTTATTTGGCACTACAGTTCAGTGTTAACCTTGGCCTCCTTATAGAATTATTAAATTCTATTTATTAATCTTAAAGGATCGTGTGATGATAACACAGCAGTTCTGATTTAAGCTAATTTGGCTTAAAGGCCTTAAAACAACACTAAGACCGCGAACTGACTAACATTTAATTATTTTTTTATAAACAATTAAATTCTCAGCATAGTAAGCTCTTGACAGCAAGGACTTCGCTTGCTTTTTGATTAGATTGCCATATACCTGCTTGCATCCTTGAATCCATTAAAAGATTCACATTTCATATGTTCGATATACAAATTTATGCATTAATGATAAGGAGTGAAGTATGCAGATCTAAGGTCAATTATTGCTTAGTTTTATGAAGTGATAAATAATAATCCAGTCACGGCGTAGAGAGGGCTTATGAAAAAATCTCGCAGTTAATAGAGAGTAAAAGTACTCAAGTGCACGGGTTCAACTAGCCTAAAGACAATAATAGGAGTGAAGACATCACAAACTAAATGGACCCTCCATTTCAAATATCATATATTATGTAGCTTACATAGAAAAAAATGGGGACAGTATGATAACTATGGTATATCAAGAAAAAACATTTTTTTTTATGTTTAATGGCTTCTATATATAATAATTTAAATTTTACCTTTCATTCTACCTATTTGCACGTTATATCCTTCTACTTTCTCATTAATTCCTTTTATTACAGCTGTTACGAAATCACCAGGTTTCACATCATCTAAAGTAAACACCTTTTCGGTGATAACTTTAGAATCATCTGTACATATATACATTGAATCCATTAAATCGTAGTCAAGTACACGAACTGTTAGCTTTGTTTTTTTGGCATACTTTGCAAGCATTTCATCTTGATCATAATTTCCTTTATAATTCGCTTTGATGCTTTTGTACGATATAATGCCCTTAAATTTATTATTTAAAATCAATATCACACCACCAGTTCCTACATGATGTACTCTTGCATTTTCTATAATATCGCCGCGTTTAAATTCCGTTCGCAAAGCTGCTTCCTTTCCATTATCTTCTTCTTCTATATCTTGCGTTCTTTCCAAATTTAATGTTAAATACACAAGTTTAGTTAGTGGCATGACATAGAGTATACGCGCCTTCAGTTTAGTTTTCAATTCATAATCTTCTGGTAGTGCCAAAGGCTCTTGTAGCTGATGTTCATTTATATAAGCAGTGAACGCTTCATTCATTATAGTACCTTGCAAGCCATCTTTTAGTTTTTTAGTTACGTTAAACTGTACAATACTGCCTGGTAATAAATAATCTAGATTCGCTTCCAACTGATTTTTGATGTTTAGTGAAGCTGTATCTAACTGCTTACATATACATGTACTAGCTGCTTTATCTGATGTAATTTTTTCGACTTTAAGAAAGATCAATTCTCCGACTGATGGAGCTGTTTTTGCCTTTTCCTTTGGTAAAAAACATCGCAATCCTTTTATTCCAGTTTCTATTATAAAGCCATGTTCTTGAATTTCTTCAATTGCGCCATTAAAAATGAAACCCTTTTTAATGTTATTGTGCAGTAAATCGGCATGAACTACTGAAGGTTTTAACGAAATATTAACTTCAACATTTTTGCGTGTGATTTGCTTCAGTTCCTGCACACGTCCATAAACAAGTTGACCGACCGTATATAATTCGTTCAGAGGTTTGTAATTATTGGCACTATCTGTTTTCTCCACAAACTCTCTAGCAACCTTCGTATATGCATCCGAAATTTGTAATGCATGTACTTGTGCCGATATGCGTCCAGGTAAAGATATTCTGAGATTTAAATTATTAATAGATTTAATTACCCCCAATATAAGCATGCTCTCCTGTATGGTCTCATAGTTAAGCAATTCTGCTGAGATTGTTTCGATTACATTTTTCTCATCATCCTCGTTAATAATTTCCTTTTTCGGCTTAGTTTTTTTTACTTTCTTCTGAACTGCTCCAAAAACCTGTAAATTACATTTAAAATTAACAACAATGTGCTTGGTTTTTTCAATTCATATAACTTACAATGTCTTGTTTTGGCTTTTCTGCTTGGTTCTCTTTAGGTGCTAAACCACCCCGAGGAAAACTTTTTTCTTTAACAGTCATTTTAATGAACTATTTTATCTTCATTTATTAATCTCAAACTATATTGTTAATACTTTAAAAATGCGAAAATCAACTAATGATACAAAACGCACGTGCGGCACCAAAACAATACCGCGCTTACACTTGCAATTTTGGCTTGACAGTGTTAAAACACTTTTGCTTACAGCGTCAAACAAACCTTTTGCAGAATTAAAGCAAACATGTGAAGTTTTCAATTGATGTGACTTTCCCAATCCAGATTCAATTTTTGTGCAATTATTATTTTATTATTAGTAAATCTTGAGCGAAATTAATAACACTTGGGATTAATTTATAACACTCTTGATATTTTCCCAGAGTAGCAAGATCACCCTGAAATTAAAAGCCGTTTTATATGACTTGGAAAGTTAAAAGTAACTTAAGCATGATATAGACGATGAAATTTGTTTGCAAACAAGGTTTGCTGGCTATCAAATTGCATCGTCTATACTCAAGTTTGCAAACCAAAATTTGGTTTGCAAACTAGTTTGCAGTGAAATTAAAATTTTTCAATTATTTGTTAAGTTTGCAAACTCGTTTGCTTGTGTATATCGAAATTTGCAAACTTCTCATAATTTAAGAATTTTGGTGAGCGTCGGACAACCAAAGATTACGGAAAAAAATTATTAATTTTTGGTAAAAAGAAAAATAAATGAAAAATAATTAAAAAATTGCTAGACATTAGACAATTATTGAAGAAGTTTATATATTTTAAAAATTATTTTGTGCTAAAAACATTTTTATAGTAAGCTTTAATACTTAAACAATTATTATATGCATAAAAATTTTAAAATGTAACATATTAAAAAATTGAAACAAAAATAATTTTAGTTTAAAAAATGAAATAAATAACAGGTTGCTATGATCATCACCTCAATTTCTTCAGTTTCAATTATTGTTTTGCACTCTGTACTTGCTCCGCTGTTGATATGAACGCTGTAGAAAATAAATCAAAATGAAGTTTGCCAACCTTGTTTCAAAGTGTATAGCAAAGCGCATATTCGGTTTGCAAATTTGGTTTGCAAACAAATTTCATCGTCTATATCATGCTTTAATTTAATATATGCATTTATAAAAAGGTTTTTTCGAACAGTAGTGAAATACAACAACAAAAATTTTATTTTTTATATTTTTTTAATTAATGAATTTTTGGCTGACCATACAGCTGTTTCGAGTATTGTCAAATACCCATCATCAGTGGTCTTGGAAATAATTCTTGTATTTAGGTCGTGTGCGAGTTAGGCTAAGTTGATGCTAAGCCAAATGGGAGATTTTTTGGAATTTTTTGCACTGCACACATTTTGCCATTTATCAACACGTATCGACACATCAATACATTAAGTCTGTTCCACGAGCTACTCATAGTAACTTTGAGTAAACACTGTGTATACACAAGCGCGTTCCACCAGCAAATTTTCAAGTATTTTTGTGTAAATTTTACTTCTGTTTTACGCAACTTAGCCTAACTCGCACACGACCTTAATTATTCGTAAATAATTATTTTTGAGACTGCAAGTACCAGGAATCGATATATGTATTTATGAAATATATAATTATCTACACTATTGCAAAAACGTTAGATTACTGAAAAATGTTTAATTAGATTAAAAAATTTGACAGATCGAGTAAATCTAGATTGAATTCAGATTAACCAACCGAAAACGCCAAAAGTATATATATTACTTTCACTATGCACTGCTTCGTTCTAACATTAAGAATAAAATGCTTATGAAAATGTAAAATAGAAAATATCAAATATTATAAGAAAAATATTATGCAGAATTGGTTTTCTCATCTTTTCGACAGCATCAAAACAAGCAAAATTTCAATTTACTGCATGCAAATGTAAATGTAAATGTAAACATAGTACAATAATATCTTTTTAATAGCATAGGAAATCAATGCTGTTACAAAACTCATCACAGCTGATGAAGTTGTTTGATAATAGTAAACACTATAGTTTTAGTTTTAATTCTTTACTTTCATATACTTTCCAAATTATACATTTTTTAAAGACAATAATTTAAAAAATGATTAATAACATGTGTTAGAAAATTTTATATTAAATACCATGTTGTGATTCTACTATTTTATAATCAGAAACCGATGGTGCAGCATCTGTCATTATCGTGAAATACTTAAAGATACTGATACAAATTTGTAAGCCTGATTCACCTATTCAATGTGGCATTATACTAAAATAGATTGTTATAATCTATTAAGCTATGTTCAGACAGCCAAAGTTTCCTTAGTTGCGAAAAAATGAAACTAAGTTAGTTTCGAAAGTGTTCATACTGCCCCAAATTAAGGATAACATATGTTTTTTGTTTACAAATGGAATTACATGCTTAAAACACTATTTGTATTTGGGATATTTTAAAATTCGATATTTAAATTTAAAAATTTGATTTTTGAAATAATATAAAAATAAATAAAAATTATAATATAGGAAAAAATGAATAATAATATGGAACTCTTATTAAAATATATTTTTCAAAATATTTGCCATCGTCATTCTACTGCAAAAATAATAAGTAGCGCTTTAGACAATGAATTACAATTGGTGAAGCAAAACATTGCTACTTGAAATCAACAAATGGAAGACTGTTATAAAGCTATACTACTTGGAACTACGTCATCTGTACCAAGACCATTTTGGAAATGTGTAAATATAGCACCGTACATTGAAATGATATTTAATTTTTTTTTTATAGAACCGGCAATCAGCATTTTGGAACATGTGCTTTCACACGAAGATGTTTTTAAAACACATTTCCTTGTAACTCGAAAAAATTTTTTAGTTCTGTGTGAGTTGTTAAAATCTTCACAAAAAAGGACACTAATTGGCGTAATCTGCGTAATTCCTCTTGACAAAAGAATCGCAATTGCTTTGTGTGCGTTAGGATCTTCAGAGGAATACAGGGTAGTGTGTGAATTATTTGCCGTTGGCAAATCCAAAATATGCACAATTGTATTGGTTTTTTGCAGAATGGTATAGGAAGTAATGTCACCTAGATATTTAAGAAGATTTCCATTAATACAAGAAACCGTGACAGAATGCATAGAAGGTTTTGAACTTCCCGGATTTCCACAATGTTTAGGAGCCCTTATTGGAAAAAATAAAAAAATTGTGACATCCATAGTTTTATTTTTTTAAATTATATATATTTCTTAATTCTGTAATTGATATATTAGAAATCAGCGGTAAATGAATTTTAAATAGTAATTTAAGATATTCCTTAACTAATTTTATCCTAGATTATTTATAACAAATATATATAAGATTTGCATGCCATAATAAATAATCTTACAAAGCAATGGAAAATGTAATCATATTGATAATGTTTATGAATTATTCGTAATAGTACAATAACATAACAAATAAAAATGTCTATATGGTAAAGAAGTCTGAGTAGTAATTTGAAACGTGAATTTTGTTTTTTCCGAAGTATTGCAACTCCAAATTTTTGTAGTGTATAATGCAATAATATCCTCCGTAACACGTGTTATTAATGCATCTAACTCATTATTTTTCAATTTTGAAATCCATAGATTTTCAAGAGTGTTCTTGTGCAAAGTGCAAGGAGTTGTACAAAGTGCAACATTTTAAAAAAATGTTATAATATTTAGAGTAACATACAGGACGTTCTTAATTTTTATATCAGGAACAGCAAGTTTTAAAATAATAATAACTTCATTAGCAATTGGACTAATGGTATCGTCTATGTGTGAAGCGCTCGTGCAGCTCCGGCTGGAATCTTCAAAAAATATAAGTAAGTTATTGATATTATACAGTATAACTCACTTCATTCAGATTTACAATGAGAAAAATGTCTTTTCTTACAAAAGTATTTTATTTAACTTTTGTACTTTGCAATTGCGTATCCATAATCGAACTCCGCTTCTTGTGAACACCGCTCTACTTTCTATTTTAACTGGCTTCATAACATTACTTTCAAAATATTATCCCGGTTTAATTAAAGTCAGTTGTTTTTAAAAATACATGTTACTTTTTCGTTATCTCAACTTTATCTTTTGCTTAAAATTTATCTTTTACTTAGTTGAAAATTCCCTTAATTATATGCTTCATTTCAGCGAAATTAAGGACGTGTGCGAGTTAGGCTAAGTTGATTCTAAACCAAATAGGAGATTTTTTGGGATTTTTTGCACTGCATACATTTAACCATTTATCAACACGTATCGACACATCACGAAGATGAAACTAAGATTTTTGCGAAATTAAGGTGTGTATAAACAGTATATTACTTTTTGAGGTTTACCTGACTTAAAATTATAAGAGATATGCATGGAATAAAAATTTTTACGATAGTTTAAAGGGAGCAGTGTATAACTTAATTAGAAAAATCAATCGATATATGTTTAAAACATATAAAGTTATTTTTTACTTTTATAAAGTTTTATTTTTTTCTTTATTGCCATTAAAACTTTTTGTTGAAATTATTAAGCTTATACGGAATTTACATTGGCCGAAAAGCTCTTCATGGCATTTTGACAGTTTGAGAAAGCTGCTCTTGACATATTTGCATTTTCTTGAAAACGATGCACCTCTTTTAAGAACTTCTATTTCCCAAGAAATAATTAATCGAAGTTAAAAATATGTTTTAAGTTTATATTGTAAGGTTTGAAGTCATATTTAACCTTCATGCAACATTTTTTTTGGCATAGAATCAAATCAACAAAATCAAATCAACAGGCAAGTTGAAAAATCAGGTGTTTGAAATGAGAACAAACGAATTACAACGAATGTAAACACTTTAAAATGGCTCATTCAAAATGGACCATTTTCGGCCGATGTAAACGCCATATTAATCGTTAACAAATACTATTGGTCAACATTTGTGATTAAAGGCACTATTATACATGTGTTATACTTAGAGTACTGTATTTTTTAATAATGTTCTATAAGGCCGTGTGAGAGTTCGAGTAAATGTATGTAAAGTAAATTGAAATTTCCTAGGGATCTTTTGCACTGCACTTATGTAAATATTTATTTCTTTATTTATTGGACTTATTTATTAATTTTTTTTTATTATTATAATTCTGGTAAATACCAATATTCACTGCTAACCGACATAATTTCAATTTACCATCAATTTACTTGAACTCACACACGTCCATGAGTCCATAATATATAACTTACCTATCTATTAAATATTTCATTGTTTAAATGGAAAGACGGTAACCCTATACGCCGGTTTCACTCTATTATTTTGATTAGCGCCGCATGTTTTTGTATATTCTTTTCTGATAGCTTTGTAAGTTATAAAAATGCAAACATTAAGGGAGTACACGCGTAAAACTAGACGTGGGAATGTATTAAAGGTGAATATATATAATATAAATTAATTTCAGTTTTTCTAAAAATATTAAATGATATTAGGTTGTACGTGAACACTACTTACGGGATGACCTTAGTTGCGGTTCAGATATTTGCAATGTTTGCAACCGTCAAGATGCACCACCTGTACTATTACGTGAAAGAATGTTGCGAAGCACACTATTTGATTTTCCACATTATATAGTGCTGGATAGTAATATTATATTGGATCAGATAGATGTACTCGAAGAAGACGTTCTGTGTAATGTTATTATATTTGCGACTGTAATGAATGAAGTCCGAAAGAAGAGTTCAGTAATATACAAGCGTTTCAAAAATGTTTTACAACTTAAAACAAGAGGATTTTATGCTTTCATCAATGAACATCATAAGTAGGTCAATTATAAATGTACTTTTATAAATTAAGTGATTTGTTGCTTATATACGTATATATGTATGAATATTTTTCAGGATTTTAAACAAAAAGGAATGTTTTACACATTTATCACGAAAATATTAAAAAACATGGATGAACTACATCCATGTTCTTTCCATCCCTATTCATATTCATATCTTTATAAATAACAATTAATTTGATACAAGATAATTTGTCTACAGTATGTGATGGCTTGTAATTTTTATTATATGAATTTTTTTTACAGAGATACCTATGTGGAACAAATGCCCAATGAATCTTCTAATGATCGTAACGATCGCGCTATTAGAGTTGCTACAAAATGGTATGATAAACATTTGCTTGATTCTCAACAAAGTAATTCATTCAAAAGGTCTGGTCAACCTCAGACGCGTGTGGTTTTCATAACAGACGATGCTGCATGTCGTGAAATCAGTAAAAATGAAGGTATACTTGCATGTACTGCAGAAGAGTATATAAGTTCTTTGTCAGATTATCCATTACTTGTTGACAAACTTGCACGTAAATCTTTCGATAGTGAAAAGCCTTCTTTACCAGTCTATCCTAGTCATCTTACAATGGTTGAGATTCATGAAGGTATCAGAACAAAACGTTTCTTGCAAGGTAATTTTCAAGCTTCAAGAGAAAATTACTTGGAAGGCAATGTTTCTGTTGAAGGCTACGACAATCCAGTAAGCTATATCATATTAAATATTTATAGTTGCTAAATAAATACATTTTTACGTTTATTACAGATACTTTTACAAGGGCGTGAGGCTATGAATCGTGCTGTTGATGGCGATATAGTAGCTATTGAACTCTTGCCAGAAGCCGAGTGGTCCACGCCAAGTGAGATTGTACTAGAAGAAGTAGAGAATATCGAAGGTTTAGAAGATCAAAAAATTGCCGAAAGGGAGATGGATATGTTTAAGAACACTGTTAGTAAAATCTCTGAGGAAAAGCGACCAACTGGTAGAGTCATAGGTATAATACGTCGCAAATGGCGCCAATACTGTGGTATATTACAAAAAAGTGTTCTTGAAAATACGAACCGTCATATTTTTGTACCAGCTGATCGTAAAATTCCACGCATACGTATTGAAACACGGCAGTCAAAGAAACTATTAGATCAACGTATTGTGGTTGCTATAGATAGTTGGCCAAGATTCTCTCGCTATCCAAATGGGCATTTTGTTCGCTCCCTAGGGCCTTTAGGTGATATTAAAACAGAAAACGAAGTAATATTACTTGAGCATGATGTACCGCACAGTAAATTCTCGGAAGAGGTTTTGAGTTTCTTACCAAAATTGCCATGGACAATTACTAATGAAGTAATATGCAAAATATATACAATAATAAAAAATAATTTATGTTAAAAAATATAAAATAAATTAAAATAACAAATATTTTTATAAATTTAAAGGACTACGAGAAACGTGTTGATTTACGTGACCTTTACATATGTTCCGTTGATCCACCTGGCTGCACAGATATTGATGATGCTTTACATTGTCGTAGTT